CTCCTGCCCCGCTGCGCATCCTCCCTGCTGCGGCGGGGACCTGGGGGGTGGGAGGGGCTGTCCCCAGGACCACGGCGGTGGCTCCATCTCGCTGTTTCACGACTTGCTTGTGCTGCTGGGGCCCCTGGGAAGTGGGACTGCTGGTACCAGTGGTACCAAGCCTCAAATATTCCCAGCTGGCTGCGGAGATGGGTCTAACAGTCGGCTGCGGGAGAGGTGGGACACGGCCGGGGGGTCTTTCTACAGATGGGATGGACAAAAGGGAATGGAGGGGGCTGAAGGACAGCGAAGCCGCTCAGTACAGAAGGAGACCTCCGAGAAGCCCCCGAGCCGAGAACGGGCCGTACAGCGGAGGGGACGCGGCCGATTACCGGTGGGAGGAAGGACCCGCGCAGCGGGGAAGCTGAGCAGCAGCGGGGTGATGGGGCAGGGCCATGCTACGGTGTGGGGGGATGCTCAAGTGCAAAATGGGAGCTAGGCACTCGGCCCGGCATCGTCTGGGGATGGGGAGCGATGCAGCAGAGACTGCAACGCAGGGACAAAGGGAAAGTGAAAGAAATACCAGAGACCTGATGCTCACTGCGTCTAGGAAAATCCTGGTCCATAGGAAGGGACACGGGCAGGCTCCGCTTGTACGGACTGACCGGGCAAGGGGCCAGGTCCTGCAAACACCCACGCACGTGCCGAGGAGCTGCGCGTGGGTAATTCAGTTCCCTCCACACATACTTTAATTTGGGAGGAAAGCACAATTCCTTCTTTTATCAGAACAGCAGCATTTTCCCCTTCAGATACAGACTTATAGAAAACTTTGTCTAAAATACAATTATTTCCCTCCTAATTAGAGTAATTTTTAATTACTCTTACACCTTTGAAGAAGGATAATGAATGGCTTGGGTTTATTAGCAGCCTTTTATCAACATCCCGTGGGACTTCTCTGTTGTCAGGGGATTTAAGCTCTGCCTTGCCCAGAGGACTGTCAGAAAGCAGAGGGGCTCTAGAAACGCGCTCGTCTTTTAGGGCTGCGTAGAAGATTGTGGTAAGAATTAAACCCATCACAGAGCAGGACATTTTTACCACACCAAATTAATACAGTAACCTCTAAAACCAGCGCAGACAAGACAGGCTTCTTTCATGTTTCCTAATTAAACACCGGCACAGCCCCGGCACGTCGCACATTTGCCAGCCCCTCTCCAAGCCGGGCAGACTCCCCTGCCTGCGAGGCCCTTGGGGTGGGACACTCTGGCAGGGATGCTCCCAGGGTTTGGGATGGTACTGACCAACCTCTGCCCCAGTGCTGCTGGAAAACTGTCACTGTCTTGGTGACAGCGCAGCATGCCCTGTATCCCACTGGACAACATAGCAGAGCACGCTCTAATCCACGGATCCCTAATTTACAGAGGCCACTTGGTGCCTCTGCCCTTGCACAGAGGTGATGCCTTTGACATCCACTGCAGAAGACCGTGCCAAAGTGCTCGACACCCTGAGGTCATCCGTTACGTGCAACACGTGTCCAAGGATGTGCCTGGGCACTTGTGCAGTGCCGGAGGTGCAAGCGGTGGAAGAGTGGATGTGCCAAAGCCAGGTTGGGTGAACACGGGGGACTTGTTGGTGGAGAGGATAGCAGGGATGAGATCAGTGAGAAGAAAAATGAAAGAGGAAAATACCAGATAGGCCCAGGGAGCCACCACTTGGTGATGTTCAGGAGAGCTGAGAGCTTGGGAGAGAGGGAGAGAAGAGGGCTTTGAAATTCCCCAGAGGAAAACAGGCTTTAAAAGGTGCCCTTCTCCCTGGTAATGCTCCTATCGGAGTCCTCGGAGAGCTGTAAGAGCTGGTGAGGCTCTTGCGGGGTAGTATCACGAAATGGAGTTGTCAAACCCCATCAACCAGGGAGGGCTGGAGAACCCTGGTGCTTCATCAGCCCTGATGGAGAAACCTGGAGCAGGGAGCCAGAGGCAGCAGCTGCGGTTGCAGGAAGGCCTCTCCCGATTTTAGAGATTCGCAGGTGGTTTAGGGTGCAAGTTTAACTCTTTCCAAGCTGTTGCACAAGAGCCCTCCCCACTCCACCAAGTCTCCATGCTGCTGAGCATCGACAGACACTGCAACGACAGCAGCATTAGAGGGAGTCTGCCAGCAAGCTCAGCAGCTATGCCGCTCTGATGCTCCAGAGAGCACGGTCAAAGCACGTACCTGCACGTTCCTGTTGAGGCTGACCGCGGGGAAGAAGAGGCCCTCCAGGTTCTCGAAGGCGACAGGCCCTTGCTGGTCCTCGTTGATGGAGAACGTCAAGGTCCTCCTGGTCAAATCCAGCAGCACTCCCACCGTGGCGCCTTTCGTTATCCCACCCTCGGTTCTGCAGGGGCAAGAAGATCAGAACATCTCTGTGGCTTAATGTCCCTTCTGCCTCACGGTTCAGGCCATAGACTTCAACGGCTGATGACGCTGAACTTCACAGCTTGCCCAGGAGCCAGGCCATGACCTGCACCCATCCCAGCCACGCTCGCGAGTCCCTGGGCACCTCCTCCTCAAGCCTCCCGCAGAGGTGCTCTCCACTTGCCATGATGTCCCTGAGGGCAAAGCTACCTACCAGAGCAGCCACAGCAACACAACCATGGGGGAAAGCAAGTGGACCTGGGGTGCAAAGCTGCAGAGGCCACTTCAAAACCTGCTGACCCATCAGGGAACGGCCCTTGAGGCTGCAGGAAGGTGACACCAGCCTTTCCCCAAACTACCGCAAGCTTCAAAGCCCCCAACCCCACTGTCCTGTGGGGAAAGCGAGCAATAGCTGTGGCCCAGGGATAAAGGCAAACGCTATTTTCTTGTTGCACGAGTTGCAAGGCTTTGGGTGTTAACGGGAAGGGGATGCTACCCAGGAGTGGTGCCGTGCATGCTCGGGGGAAGAGCCAGCACGGAAAGAGTCGCAGTAGGCAGGGCAGGAATATTGGAGCAAGGCAGAACCAGGGAGGCAGGGACTGTCCTTCGCTTGGGGCAAGGGCACGTTCTCTAATAGAGGCGATGAGGAGCGATGTCACCCTTCCCGTGGGCGCCTGTAGGTGCCACTGGAAAAGCCACAGGCTCTTACTTGGGCTGAGATTGGGCTGCGGTCTCTGGGAGGAAGACTACGTACCTGTTGGTGTGCGAATTGTTGTGCATGAACCAGCTCCGGTTATTGTCCACGTACATGGCCCAGGCCTTGTCGTCCTTGCCCAGCATGGCATCCTTCAGGACATCAATGCGTGCCACACCAAAGGCCGGGTCAGGGTGGTTATCGTAACGATCGATTGACAGCTCCCAGTAATGGAGCCCTTTGGAAAAGCCCGTTTTCCCCAGCACAACCCTGTCATCATAGCTGTTGCAGGTGACAGTCAGGTTGTCATTAGAAAAGATGATGTCAGCGTGGGCAGAGGCAGGATCGAAAGAAAACCAAGCAACTGGAATACACAAACAACAGCAGGTTAGTCTGGCGGGAGCACGGCCATCAGTGACCGAGCCACGTGGAGCGGACACTAAACAGCGCATGCTGCATGCAGGGGTGACACGTAGCACGACGGCACGGCGGGGGCTCGGGCTGCTGCCCACCCATGTGGCACCAAGAAGCAGGCAGGGAGCTGCACAGCGGCGGGGGCTGCTGGCTCACGGAGGGCACCTTCCACCGTGGAGGGATGCTTGGAGCTTGTGCAGCTGCAGCCTGCCAGCGTGGCTGAGGTTTTATGGCTGGGACTCAGAGGAGTTTTGCTCTTGCTGCTCCCCAGTGCTTGTCTGTCTCCATCCCTTCCCACCGTCTGTCTGTCTCAGCTCGCAGGATCCTCACGATCTCCTAAAACTTGGTCCTAGCAGAAGGAGACGTGCGATCCTGGCCAGGTCTCCAGGCTCTAGCTAACGTAACTTACTCTTACGACTAAGGGTTACTCATGCAAGCAACAGTTTGCAGGGTCAGGCCCAGCGTGGGAAGGGGACTGAGGATCAGCAGATAAACTGTGTGTGTATTTGAGGGCTGGCAGTCCTGGGAACCAAAAGCACATACAAAGATCTACATTGACAGAGATGCTACGTCACACCGAGAAACCTCCCTGCAGAGCAACCGGCCACACGTACGACAAGAGCTAGCTCATGGGAAGGCTGGAAAATGCCTGAAAACCTCGACGACTCGGTATGGCTGCTGGTTTAAATGCACGGGACTCGGATACTGCAAATCTAACAGATACAGTGTCACGTCCTCGACAAGACAGAGGCACGGGGTTCACAAGCCACCAGCCCGGTTCCCCAGGTGGTTTTCTCCAGCGGTCACCGAAATGTGAACTGACACATCCACAAAACACTCTCACGCCTGCAGGAGTAAATACGGCTTGAAAAATAAAACACTCCGGTGAGATTTATTCATTGATTTATTGGATCATTTCACAAGACAGCTCACATGCACGCGGGTGCCCCAGTTTTGCAACTTGACGGAGGTGATTTCGTACCTGCCACCATTTTTTTAATGTCAACTGTGGTCATTCCCAAGGAAAGGCATGCAGGAGAGAAAACAGCACACGAAGTTGGGTAAAGAAAGGAACGAGAAACAATTTCTGCTTGCCTGCTTCTCCAGCGAGCGCACGGACCTTTCAGCGTTTTGCATAAAAGTGGGGGAGAGATGGAATGAGGAGGGGCTCGGGCTGCCAGCGCGTGTAGGCTGGCCGGCATGGTATGCGAGCTGCCCGAGGAGGGAATCCCGCCGGGCTGGGCACGGGGCTCCTTCTCCTGAGGGAATGAACGGGCCTGACCTTGCTGAGTGCTGCAGCCCCGGGGGGAGGCAGTCTGCATGGGACAGGCACCCAGCTACAACGAGCACTTGCTCCAATTAGCTGCAGAGGGGCTAATCACCTCCTTGGCATTTGGCCCATGTTCAAGCACCCTTAATGAACTGGAATACGTATTGCTTTGAGCAGGAGGATCAGTTCTTAATTACAGGGCCACTTCCAGAGCACCAACTTCAGGCTTCTCTTCAAAATCGTATGGGGGAAAACTTAAAATGCCTTTACATCATATGGCAGTGACCATTCCTCCTCCAAATTTGCCTACTGCCATGACATCCGAGAGCACCCTGCAAGCAGGGTATGCACGAGAAATGCTGCTCACTCGCCAAAGAAAAGTTAAAGATTTAAAAAAAAAAAAAAAGAAAAAAGGACGAGCAACATGGAGTAGGTGCCAGTTAATTGTAATAAATATACTTGCCTAATTGAGAGTACGGCGTCCCTTGTGTCTCAAAATTGCATCCTATAAAGAGATACTACATTTCACACATCACAGCTAAGAAACAACAACCGCCTGAAAAACACTCATGAGCATTTAACCTTTAAATAAGCATCCAGCCAGCCACGGGAGGCCTGATTCATTAAAAGCCAGAGAGCATGGAGAGGGGTCGCAAATACCACCCGTGAGTTTGAGTGCGGACTGCTGGCTGTTTTGGTGAGTCTCACCTCTGGGAAGTGTGGAGTATCTGCTCTTTCATTGCCAGATCCCATCACAGCCTTCAAGAGCATCAGGTCTGATTGCTACCTGCTCGGGATGCCAAATCATTGGACTTTCCTCCAGAAAAGGGGCAGGAAATGTTAGCCGTGGCAGAATATCTTAGCCGTTTGGTAAGTGTTCTTTAGATTGACCCTCAGTTGAATCATTTAAAAAAGTCACCCACTCCTCGGAGGACAGGGACTGATGAAAGAAGAGCAGCTACTGGTGTGTCCAGTGAATAGGGACCACCGAGCTCTCCCGGCTGCCTCCCCTGCCGTGTGTACGGTCTGGGCAGGAGCAGAGCAGGAGAGGGGGTCCCTGGGGGCAGATGCCTGACCTCAGACCCCCGCTAGCACCCAAAGGGCATCAGGCTGTGGCTTCGACTGCAGCTGCACAGGCAGGACGTGTTGGGATGCCCTTCATCCTCCCGTGACTGGGCTGTGCGTGACTGCTGACTGCAAACACCTCCTGGGAGCCGGACTGCAGCCGGGGACTGATCCGGGAGCTTGTCCTGATCCAGGAGCTCGTCCTCGCCAGGAGGAGAGGGCAACATAAAGCCCCACGTTGGCACTGCACGGGAGGGCATTTGTGACGGGTGCTGGATTTTAAGGAAAACCCTGTCTTGCTGTGTGACTGGTTTTCACCTCTCCTCTGGCAAGGAAGCAGGCTTTTCACCCTGCATGTTGGTGGGAAAGCATCTGGCCGCAGTTGCGCTCCATGGTGACTGCCAAGCAGCACCTCCCGAGGCTGTTTTAATGAATCGCGCCCCGTGCCCCTATTCAAAGAGTGGTTTTCAAGGTCTCTGTGCATCACTGCGATACAAGTTCACTTCAGTGCAAAACAGCAGGGACACATGGGCACATTCCGGACCCCGTTTTGCCCTGCCCCACCACCCCAGACCGCGGCTGCAGAGGTCCGTACTGCACACACAAGTATTGCTCACGGCCATCGCAGTGGATCTCGGTACACTGGGCACAAAGTAAGAAACGTCCATAACAAAACAGAGTTCAAGCCATTAACGCACAGCGGTACGATGAGAAAAAAAACATAAAAAGCACAAAGAAAAGAAAGTTGCAAGGCCGCCGGTTATTCTGGCAAGGGTCATGCTGCAGCATTCCTCATTCCAGGTTATGGGATGGAAATTAAACAATCAGGGGCCCCCATTCTTCCTGGGCTTACACCAGAGAAAGCAGTGAATTACTCCGTTGGAGCCCATGGACTGGTGTAAATCCAGAGTGGCGGAAGAATCAGGGCCCAGGATCTTTAGCAACGGAAGATGTGCAAAGACTGGTTAGAAAACAGCTCCGAGAGATGCACTGTGCCTGCGGCTCCTTCGCTGGCTGCCCGATACCGTCACTCATTCTGCCTGTACTGCCTACGTCCCACCACAGCCCGCGAGGACCGGGCGCAAGGAGGCAAGCAAACTGCTTGTGGGTGCTGCCAGACGAGCAAGGTATCACAGGAGTGGTTTCCTCTGCTCTGCAGAAAACAAGACTTCGATACGATCACGTCTGGTTTTGCAAAAGCCGAGCCCAGTGCTCAAAGCTGAGCAGACGAGAGCCCACATCTTCAGGGTCTTAAAAAGCCAAACTGCAAGGGGTCTGGCCTTAGCTAGACCTTACTTCCATCTAGACTTGCTTCTTTCTTAAGAGGGGTCTAGATTTAATTGAGCAAACTAATTTCACAGAACAAATCTCACAGCAGAGGCTGCGTTTTCCAGTTGTATAGGGAAAGCAAACCATCGAGATGTCCCCACCGGTTTCTCCCAGGGAGGGTCTGTTCTTCTACTGGCCCTAGACATAAGATCAATACAAACTAGACATGAGGGATCTGCTCTGCCGGCTGGCTGTGTGAAATGGTTCAGCCAAGAACAGCACCCACGTAAGGAGTTACTGTGCTGCTCTGTCACCCCACGCCTAAAACTACCCATGCTGGTACGTACAGATGAACACACCACGAGAACTACGCCACTGTCCCTCCGCGGCAGGAGCAGGCCACTGACAAACAGAAAGAGTTCCCCCTGCCATCCGCATGTCATGGGAAAAACAAACACAACGGAACAAAACGAACAAATACTTTGGAGATGCCCAGAAGCACAGACCAAGAGGAAATGCCAGAGGCACTCAGCTCACCGGCTGAATTCAGGGACTGTAAAGAAGAATGCAAGCTCAGCTGGTGGGCCGAAGATCTTAGCTCAAAGTAGGATCTCCCCGGAAAGCTGGGTTGTAGATTAAGGGTGGAGGAGAAAGGACTCATTCTACGAAGCTGCGATCTTTCCAAAGGCACTGGAAAAGGGAGGGTCTGTTCTTCTGACTGCGTGTCTAAATGTAAGATCAATGCAAACTAGAGATCAGAAATCAGGTCTGCTTGACGGTGTCACTCCATCGCCCGAGACAGACCTCGGACCAGAACACAGACACTTCGGCACGCACGGACCCTGCTTTGCTGCAGCGAGTGTGCGTATGATGCGTGGAGCAGAAATGTCTGGTGCTGTGCAACCCAGCGAGACCCTTCAGGAAAGCCTTGCCTCTGACAGTATCGGCAATAAAGATATTTTCATCTTCCAAAATGTTCCCATGTCATCATGACAAACTCAATACGCTTTTCTTTAAAGTGAGTCCTGCACCTCTTCACAGTAATGCACCTAAAAAAATTCACAAGTTACCATGCACCCTTCCCATCGTTCTTCAATAAATCTCATACCTTTTTGTGCACAGTAATTACTGGCATAAAAGCTAGTCGTTTGGTAACGCTGAAAGGCATTTTGCAGGGCTGTACTAAGCTATATAACCCTAAGTACCACCAAGCACCCACCTTACTCAAAGGTTGTTCGGGATGTTGTGTTCCTGGTATCCCTTTGTACCTGTCAAAACACATCTGAGCCTTACAGTAAGAATTTAACTCATGTGATTCACAGCAAAATGTCAGAGTAGAGGGAACTTCTTGGGTCTTTGGTTTCCATTCCCCGCTACCACAAACGGTCACCTCCTGCAATTTCTTCCCTAGCCTTGTCAAGGGATATGTTAGCATGAAAATGTAGGATCCACCATCCTCCACGCACTCAAATCAGACAAACTCCCGGACCCTGTATCCTCAGCCTTCCTGTCTCAGCTGTAAATACGGATTGAGCTGGAAATCATGTTAAAACAGATAGAAGGAAGCGTTTCTTTGCACAGTGGATTGTAACTTCTGCAACTTGCTGCTGCGTGAGGCTGTGGAAGCAAAGAGTGTCAGTAGGTTCAGACACGGGTTAAATAAATTATTGCACAACAGGTCAATAAACATAGCTCAAGGTTGGGGAGGGATGTGCCCTCTAACATCTACCAAGAGTGAGAGGAACTACTACCAAGAGTAGCCAGGCTCATGGCTCTCCCTAACTAGCACCTTATGTTCCTATAGCTCCTTGCAGTGTATCTCCCCTTGTGTTGTTCACCCCTTTCCAAAAGCTGCTGGTTAAAAAGCCCTGGTTGCTGCTGAGGGTCACTCCATGGCTGGTGAGGAACTTAAAGTTGGGCCCCAGATGAGGAACTGGGCTTGAAAGAAGAGGAAAGCTTCTGGTGCTTGACTAGGCTGGAAAAGGGCTCTCGGGTGGTGCCCAAGACCCTTTGCCACATCCCCAGCTCAGGTGGGTGGCAGAGGCAGTCGGGAGCGGCTGCTCATGGTGTTGGCAGAGTCGGCCAAGTTTGGGGACCCGGGAGAGGGGACAGCAGGGCACAGGGTGTGACAAGCCAGGTGTTCCTCCCTGATCCTCTGTTCCTAGGCTTGTGTCTCACCAAAGAGACAAGAAGTCCAAACCAGGCTTGCCTTGAAACTCTGCAGCCATGCCTAAAACTGGAGGCTCAGAGCAGCTGAGAGAAGGGGGAGAGGAGACACGGCCGTTCCCTCGCGCTGGCTCCCCGTGCACGGCTGCAGGCAGCACAGGTGGCCCATGCAGGAGAGCGTGGCTGAAGGCATGAAGCAGCCCAGTGGAAGGGCTGAGGTGTGGGCAGTCAAAGAGACCTGGGGAACAGTGAGAATGGAGCAGCAGGTTTTGGCAGGAGAGAGGTCGAACCTCTGCACCAGCTGGGAGAGCAGATCTGGGCCTGGGGAGCAGGCAGGGACAGTCCCCTCCAGCACTGCCGAGCTCCTCTTCTCCACCTGCACCTGGGGTGAGTTGGTCCTTCATCCCGTCATCCAGCTTGCTGGACAGCCCATGGAAAGAAAGAACACTGGGGGGACTCGGAAGCCATCTCAGAAATCCTCGTAGAGAAAAGCAGCCCAGCAGCCAGCCCACCTGCAGACTCTAATCCCACTGCAACTGGGAGGTCTCCTCCTCTGTTCCTTGCCACCGTGTGTTAGGTGCCTGTTCCTGGGAGCAGTCGTTTGCATCCCACCATGACCAGCAGACCAGAGCCAGGGGCTTCTGCAAGGCCTCTTCCGAGACAGCTCTTGCTGCAGCCGTGAATACAGAAAGGAACCACACGCTATGGGTAGGGTGAAAATGGGAAAGTGCCAGGAGGAAAACAGACTGGGTCCCAAAGTCAGCAGGAGACTGGCCAGAGGTTGGAAAATCTGCTGGATGAGGAAAGACCAAGAGAGCTGGGACTGCCCAGCCCAGAGAAGAGCAGGCTGGGGGGAGACCTGAGGTCTCCTGGAGGCGAGGGCAGCCGAGCAGTGCTGTCACCGGCCAAGCTTTGTAAGATGTCTGTGCCTAAGGACAGGGTCACCTTGCAAACTTTCTTCCAGACTGCTTTCCAAGCCTGAACTTCATGCAGGTGCTGGAGAAACAGAGAGGTTACGCCAGGCCCCACACCGCAGTGCCTTGGAGCCTGCAGTGCTGGTCCTGGGAGGCACTGGCTAAGACGTGACAGGGCAAGAGATACTCCTAGGGCTGCTGTGAAATAGCCTGACATTAGGTAGGGAGAGGACACAGTTCAAGGCAAGGACCCCTGCTGCTTTTTGGCTGTGCTGATGATGAGGATCTTCATCCCTGGGAAGCCCCAGAGGGCCCAGCATGTGGGAAGGGCTTGGGGCAAAGACCTTCTCCCAGCCAGGAGCCACCTCGCCCTGCTGGTGGCACCAAGCACCAACTTCAAAGAGTGAACTGCCATTTCCTCAGCTGGAAAACATAGTTCCTTCGGGATGAGCAGAAGACGTGCCATACCACAGGCTGGGAAGGTGCTCTGCACCTTGCTGTAGGCTTGCATGTGTGCCGACTTCCCATGGGACATTCCCGTTGATGCTGGCTGGCTCACCTTGGCTGTTCGGCTGGGCAGGACCACAGAGGCATGCCTGCAGAGGCCCAGACACAATTTTACCCTCTTCCCATCCTTTTTCTCTTCAGATGCCGAGACCCTGTGAGACATTTTACTCCCCACTAGCCTCTACAGCCCATTTCACTGCTCAATGAGGGAAGAAGAATAACTCCAGTTAACTTCCATAGGCTGTGGATAAGGATCTTGTGTTCTAGGACTAGAAGCCAGCTTTTAAATAACACCCTCTACGCAGAATTTCTCATAACCACTTATAGCAGGACAGCCATGTTCAGAGAGATGTTCTTTTCATATCAAGCCAGTCTCTTCTTTTTTCCCCTCTTCCCGCACAAACACTTTGCAGCAAGCTGCAGAGCATGGCTGAAGGGGAAAGCTAAACCTACTTCAGACAAAATAGCACTTAAAGGCCTGATGCTGTTGTAAAGGCCAGAAATAAAAGTCTAACTGAGAGCTGCGATGTGCAAGGCGGCTCTATTCAACAAGTCACTCGGATATCCAGAAGCTGCACACGGATGTAATTTATTTCACTTTGAGTCCAAAAAGCTTAGATGGCCTCTAAGAGCAGAAGATGCTCCAGGCCCATTTGACTTTTTCTCCCTCTTTCTTTTGTGCTGGAATAACAAATGCAAAAGCCCATTCAGTGAAAAGGCTGAATGCAGGAAACTTTCATCTGATGCTCAGAAGAGTGAAACGTCTATTTGCTGGCACAGACCAAGGCACCAGCCCCAAGTAGAGCCTGGCCTGCTGGGACCATGAACGGCTATTTTCTCCCAGGTTTCTTCGTATTTTGGAGTTGCGCAATAGGCGAGCTTGGCTTGACAGTGAAAACACCTATGAGAGGAAAGCAGAGCTGGAAAGATCATAGGGGGAACCCTGCAAACTCCTGGTTGGGACATCTTAAAGCCCAAGCGGTTTTGGCTAGGAAACTGTGTCTCAAACGGGTCTTATGAGACACAAACGTGACAAGAAGCCAGAGCTCTGCTGTCTCCTGCAAAGGCTGGTGAAGCTGGGTAATGAAGTGGGTGAGAACTGTTGACCTTCAGGCTTTGAGAGCAGTCCTGGCCACCCCAGCGTGGGGCTGGATCCCGGTTGTCCCGTCCCTGGATCTCCAGAGGAACGCTGCAGCTTCCTTGACGCTGGTGCCAGTTTTGCAAACACGCACACAGCTCTCGGGCGGATGTGCCAAAGCCTTTGTGGCCTATGATTTGAGTTTTTTGCCTCTTGTATGAGAAGGGTTTGTCACAGGTTTGCTCTCCACTCTCTCTCTGCCACATTCAAGTCCCGTTCCTCGCCAACCTGTCCTGCCCATGCATTCAAACCTGGCACATGCTCTTTCTGAGCTGCAACAGTTATCTCCTGCAGATGAGTGCAGGCAAGCAAGTGAAAACGCTCTGCGTAGCCTTGCTCTGCTTCTATCTGTAAATCAGTTTTCAGCAGAAAACCCTTTTTTCTCCTTGCTCAAAGCCACCAGAGGTGCTCTGTGGCAAGAAGGATCTCACCCTCCTTCTGCCTCACCGGCAGCCCCACGAGCTGTGTGGGTTCCCTTCTGATCCCAGACTGTCTGCCGGCAGCAGCTGGGGTTGCAGGAACGCGCTGCTGCTCTCGAGCCAGCTGCCAGCCAGGTCTGGCAATGCTGCTGCGAAACAAATCTTCACATGGCTTGGAAAAGACAGATTTTAGTCTGGGAGTACAGAAAACGGATTCCACCGAGTGTGGAAAATTCCCAAGGAGGGGTTTCTTGCCTGGCAGCAAGGCTACGGGGCGACAGACGTGCTGGTGGGAGCTAATTCCTCCCTTCACTGTTGCATCGCCCACTGCTTCTGACTCCCACCTCATTTCTCGGAGCTAGCCTTACGACTCTCCACCTGCATGTCAGAAGCAAGCCAATTTTCCACGACGGATTAAGTGCCTGGTGTGACAAATGTACTTAAACGTCAGGCGGGAAGACTCCTCTGCAACCTGCAAGGGAGTGTTTAATATTCTAACTGAGCGCCTGCCGGTGCGGGGGTGATGCAGACGATGCCAGCGAGGCTGGCTGAGCACCCCGAGGGTCGGCAAGGACACCCGTGCGGCTCCACGGTCCCTCTGCTCTCTGTTGTGCACTGCCAGGGGCTGGAGGAGACATCGTGCGGTTATGGCGTTGTGCAGCCATGCACAGCCCTTAGTGTCTCAGGAGCAATGTTGACAGTGTTGTGTTGTTTTAAATGGAATTAATGAAAACATCTGAGCTTCCTTTTGTGTAATAGAAATGCTGCTGCAACCAAATTTTAAATACGTCTCTGCGGGATGCCTCTCACTGTACCTCCCCAAAGAACATCTTCTGCAAAGGAAAGGGGTGCGAAAGAAATTCGGGCATTGTTCAAGGTTCCTGACATAACCTTTCCTCCTCCCGTTGGTGCTGGCTTTCCTGCAATGATTGCTGAGATACTGGAGGACCAGTGGAGTGTTTCCCTGTATTGCAATGCTAAGCTTGGGTGGGCTGGACGGGCCCCAAACATGCGTGTGAGCAGTGTCCGAGTGCGTGGGGCAGGAGCTGTTGCATTGCCTTACCCTCAGATGTCTGGAGAACCAGGGTCTTGCTGTACGGGCTGACTCCTGTTTTGTTGAAGGCTTTGACACGTGCGCTGTACGTGCTGTTGAAGTGAAGCCCGTCCACCGTGCACATGGTCTCCTTGCCCACGTACACCTCCTGCAAAGCAAGCACAATTAGTGCCCAGACCATGGAGTCCCAGGGGTGGGAGAACAGCTCCCGGTGGTCGTGACGCACAGGGTTCAGCCATGCTCTGCTATCTGGGGCAGACTTATGAGCACTGGATATAGCTAAAGCAGAGCAAAATGGCCCTATGATTTGTTCCTTGGCAATACTGCGCCATAAAATCAGTTTCTGCAGGAGAAGGATATGTTACTCTTATACAACCAAGTCATAAGGCATCAATCCCAGCCAAGCTCTCACTGAATCCTGGAAGAGCTCTGCCAGAGAGAGGAATTTATACAGATCGAGCCCAGGACACAGAAACATCCTTGCAGAAAACAATTTTCCATGCTCTTGGGTGGCAGGATCAAAGCATTCCTTGAAAGAAAACAAGGTGATCACACTGAACGGGCGCTGACTCACTGGTTTCTACTGCCGCAGCCCTGCTCAGAGGAATGGAGCTGTGTGAGCAGAGACAGCAGTGAACAGGCCTACGGGCTACCAAAACACGTCTCACAAAACATTGACTTGTATTTAGCAGATCCCAAGACAAAGCCCTGTTTGCTGCCCTTCATGGAGCAGATGGAGGCTCTGCATAGGCAGCTCGCCCGTGTGGTAAAGCTTCGCTGCCTTGCCCCCACTCCAGAGCCTGCTGCACTTTGCTGCCCGAGGTGATGGGGTGCTGCTGTTTCCAGAGCCAACGCTTGAATCTGGCCCCTTTCCTCGCAGGTGGGTGCACGTTCTCAGAGCTTATAGGGGTGCCCACACGCTCCCCTGCACTGCAGAGCAGAGGTGATGACTTCCACCCCACCCGAGACCCTGACCAGGGCTGGGAGCAGCCCAAGCCGCAGGGGACCTGGGAACAGCGACGAGTCAGTGCTTGGGGTCAAGGAGCACAATGTAGGTGTCCTAATGAACCGAGTGAGATCGGTGATGGGACGCTAAGGTGGCCCTGATCTACCTGGGCTCCAGTATCCCCACAGAGCTCTGCTGCAGCCAGAACCCCTTGAGAGAGCACAGCTCCCGCTTCACCACCCCAGGATCACTGCAAGGAGTCCCTTTGTGGCTTGATGCCCAAAGGCAGAGTCCTCTTGCCTCAGGACACCGTCCCAGTCTCTCCTGCCTGTTGGTGTGGGAGGTACAGGCTGGGCTACACACTGACCTGCTCTTGGCAGGAACTGTCACCTGTACGACAGTCGGCACTCCCAGCTCACTGGGCAAATCGCTGCCTGACACGGTTGGTCAACTCGCTGCTTTCGGGCAGGACAATGACTCAGTGATTTGAGAAGCCAGCGACATTCCCCTTCGTGGCACCAGCTGTGTCCCGTCAACTGGAGCAGCCCTCTATAATCCCAGCGGCAGGAACACCACGTACATCCAAGCCCCTTCCCACTGCTGGTGGGAGGAGAGAAGACTGGCGTGCTGGGGAATTGCCCTCACCTTGCCGGGGTGGCTGGGCTGAGCCTTGGCCTCCCCACACCCAGCCTCCTGCTCCCTTTTCTCTCCAGATCCCACCTGCATCACCCCTCTTCTGCCTCCACTCTGCTCTGGCTCCTGCCTGCCTGTGTTTCTTGTGGATAAATTCAGAAAATGCGATGGGCTGGTTCCTGCGCCTGCTCTCGGTGGATGTGAACACGCCAGGATAATTATCAGCGTGTCAGATCAGAGAAAAATCATATTTTAATTGTGTAATTACAGCAATTTAAAAGCCCTCAGGCCTTAAACACCTCTGCTTGCTGGCAGCTGGCAAACCATGAGTCTTTCATGGCAATTAGCATACCTTACAAGAAATATTTAGCAACCTAAAAAGACGGAGCTTCAAACGTGTTCTTTGCAAGTCATATTGGTCACTGGAAAGGTATTTCCACCCCCTCAAATAACCTTGCACCCCGAAAGAGGCCGCAGCTTGTCTGCACTGTTGGCTTCCCTGGGCACCCCAGCAGCAAATCTCATGTTTCCAGGGAAGGAGGGGACTTGCAAAAAGTCTGGGGAACTCTTTGGTCACTTCATGGCAGGGCAATACTGGAACCAGGAGCAACACCCTTGCCGCCGGGACTGGCTTCGTGCTCCGAGCACCTACCCTGAACTGGCCACCGTTGCCGTCATCGAGCTCCAGGATGTAGCCTTCCACCTGCACCGTCGACAAGGGGGGCTGCTTCCAGGACAAGGTGGCACTGTTGTTGTGGGTGCAACACTCCTCTAGCTGCAGGATCGGGGGGGCCGGCACTGGGGAGGAAACTAAACACAAATTAGTGTAACCCTGGCTGCTAGCACCACAGAGGAGGAGGGGGGGGATAGTCGCGGCATGCACGTTTCAGCTGGAGCATGGAGGATGCATTTATTGCCTTGGAAGCCAGCACGGCACAAGGGATGTAACTGCAATCTCACGGGTCTGAGGTGGGGAGGAAGCAGAAAGGACCGTTCTCCAAACAAGCTCCACTGAACTCCTCCACCCCGCAACCTGGTGAAGCTGAGGTTTCCCCAGAGCTTCTCTGCTTTCTTTCTGTTTTCTAATGAATTTTGATGAAATACGGCAGCGCAACAATATACCTGGTATAGAACTGCCTGGACTCTTCACAGCAGCTGGGTCCCAAACCTGGGACGCACTCCCAGACACACTCTGCAGAGCTGGCTGCAGCCGTGGGCCTGACCTTATCTACAACCCAGCAGCAAGCGTTGCTTCACTTTTCCACCACACAAATTCACTGCAACAAAACAAGTGGTGCTGGAGCAGCAGAGACGAACCTCGGGCCCTGCAGAATAGAGAGCGCCTGATCTTTCTGCCATGGTAGAGCCTGGCCTGAAAGGGGAGGCAATCGCATGAACTGCAAGACTTGGTGAAGAGATGAGCGTCTCTCAACGATTCTGTTTAGTGCTAGGGAATGATAGCCCTTGACCTGCCAAAAAGGCTCAGCGTCCTTCCACGCTGTCCCAAGCAGAGCACCCGCTCCGGGGCTTCCCGTGGGACCCCCAGGTCTGCTCCCTCTGCCAGCTCAAACAGCTCTTGTTGCTGAACACCTCCTGGGGAGGCACAAGAGGCACAAGCACATTTCAGAGAGGTCTCCAAACAGGCACCAGACAGTCCCTGTCCTCAGCCTCTTCATGCCGTTGGAACTGAAGCCGGGAGGCTGTACACCCTATAGCCTCCCATCAGCTACATAGGGGACATAACGGACTGTCAGGGCTTTTTCTGCTCCAGCTGCTGTATTTGGGCATCTGCAGGTGTGTAATGCAGCCCACTTCTGCTCTGCAAAGCATGGCGGGGTGACAGCACAACAGGGAAAGGTGATGTCCACTGAGGCATCCCATGCCCTGGCCAGGGAAAGTCCTCCCAAACCTCCTCTCAACAGAGCTACTCGTCCTCCATCCTCATCCTCACTGCCCAAAGTCTGACAAGAGCCAGCGAAAAAAAGACATGGAGAATCCAGACAAGATGTGGAGGAGCCACGGATGCCTGGGAGAGAAAAGACGGACTCGCTGGCAAAGGTTCACCATTCACCATCTCCCTCTGTGACAACTCTACCTCCTGGGTCGGATCCTCAGCAGGAAACCGAGTGGAGAAAGACCTCGTGTTACAGCTAATATAGCAGAAGGGATGCTGCTCATGCCCAGCATGTGCTGGCAATGGATGCAGGATGCCCTGTACCTATTGCTCACCTCTGCTCTTTATCAAGACCTCTGGTGTTGCTCTGCCTCCCCTGGTGCTGCAATATGTTTGGGATCTAAACCCAACCTTCTGCAAAGTGTACAAAACATCAACTTATTTCCACAGTGAGGGTGAGACGGGAGGACAGCCTATGTCAGCTCTGCCCTGCCTCCACAGAGGAGGGCGGGCAGCTAAACTAGCAGCAGATTTGCTTTTATTAATTAAAAATAACCCTCTGGTGCCCTGCCTCCCCTGGTGCTGCAATATGTTTGGGATCTAAACCCAACCTTCTGCAAAGTGTACAAAACATCAACTTATTTCCACAGTGAGGGTGAGACGGGAGGACAGCCTATGTCAGCTCTGCCCTGCCTCCACAGAGGAGGGCGGGCAGCTAAACTAGCAGCAGATTTGCTTTTATTAATTAAAAATAACCCTCTGGGCTAAACTGAAAGAAGGGAGGGCAGGAACACGCAAATGTCTCCACAACTTGTGTGTAAGCAAAACAGTAATCAAGCCCTCACTGGGTTTGGCTCCCCTCACTGTCAAAAAATGTTACTGACACTTCAAATTAACGGCCTGGCTAACGATGAGCAACGACAAGCGCTCCCAGCAGCCATGCCCAATGCACCCCTCTCACTGCAGCAAATACCAGCAGGGCCATTATTTGAAGACACTCGTTATCGTTACAAAGGAAGCGCGTGGTCAACAGCCTTCCTGCGTCTGACCGCTGAGAAACGCCAGTGTGTGCAAATGGCTCCAGAGTCAGGAAATCCGGCCGTGATGGCAATGAAGAGCCATGCCAGACCCGCAGCTGGTGGCCTTTCCTGCAGGTAGCTCATTTGCACCAGCTGAAGGTACAGGCCTATGTTCAATGTCCTCCCGAGTTCCCCGCGTCACAGTCCATTTGCATCTTCTGTCAGCTTCCCAGGGCTTAGCAAGTCGCAAATTGCTCACAGGTTGCAGCGGCTCTCTGCTTCCTGCAAAGCGATGCAAATACAGCGGCTCTCCGTGGTACGGGAGAGTGAGCACAGAGGGAACGGAGAATGAGGAGGAAATTAAAATTGAAATGAAGGTCTAAAACAACAGGGAGGAGAAGGGAGGGAGGAAAGACCCCAAGCTAAGTGGCGTGGCTCTTTGTGCCTTTGTGTTTGGAGGCACAAGGCGGCTGCCCGCAGCAGACAGCTCGCTAGCTGGCCCATGCCAGATGCTGCTGAGCACTGAGCAAGCCAGCGTGTGTGAGCAGAGGTTTGGGAAGTGCCTTGGGCTGCTCCCAAGGCCCTGGTCCCAACCTCCACCAGCTGAGCAGAGACCAGCCTGGCTCTCCTGGCACCGCAGAGCACTTTCTAAAGCACTGCCAGGCAAAACCAAGCTCCCGGCACCTGATCTTGCACACAGCTGCCCAGGGATCGGAGACAGGGAAGCAGATGGCTGCCCCAGGGGTGCAAAATACACAGGAACAGGCATAACTGAGTCTGGGGTGCCCAATCTTGCCAGGAGAAGATGAGAAACTGTCCTCTGCTGCCCCTTCCCTGTGATGAGTTGCATGGAAGCACTCGGCATGAGCAGAGACAGGCTTTTGAAAGGCACTGGAAATATTCTTACCTTTCATCTGCACAAAGTCGAGCTGGTGGATGGACTGCAGCAGAGGGGCGTTGTCAAGGTTCAGGTCGAAGTCCGTGGTCATCCGGGGTGTGAGCGTCCCCTTTCCCCACTGGTCCTCGGTTAAGTGCACTCTCCTGATGAGAGCGTCGGAGATCTGGTGGCAAGGAGCAGCCTCAGCTACCGAGGGCCACCTGGGCTGCGTGCTGTGCCTTGTCCCTACCCTGCTCTCCACCTTCCCTGCGCCTCCCAGGCTGCCACTTCTGTCCCTGACTGCCAAAGGCTGGGACATCACACGTGGTTTCTAGCATCACCCTTTGCTGTAGGCTCAGATTGGCAGAGGGACCCCAGGAGCTTCGGGGACTATTTTAAAGGCAGGGTCTAGTACCAAAGGGACCAGTCCAGGAATGAACGGTGGGATGCAGTTCTCAAGTGCTGTATGTCTGTCTCTTGCTGGAGAACCATGGGACAGCACGTTATAATCACTGCTCCAGAGATACACCCTCGTCTGCTGCAACCCTCTATTCCTCCAGTCAGAGTAGGAAATATCCCTGGCCTGGTTCTGCTTCTGTCCTGCTGCGACTTGGGGGTGATGAAAGGTTAGCCCTTGATTTTATTGCTGGAAAAGCTGGGGACATCATCCTTGGTGTAACTACCCCAACTCTGCTGCATTACCCCATGGCCCTCGTCTGTGCAATGCCTTTCCCTCTCCCCTCGTAGCCCAGACGTGAGCAGCTCCACACCAACCTGCAGGAAGCCGCTGGGGTCGTTCTCCTTGATGACCTCCAGGCAGTACTCCATCAGGCCCGTGGTCTGGCGCAGCTTGACCGTGCAGTGAGAAATCTGGTCTCGCACCACCTGCAATGGGACAAGGAGAACAGCGTTGCTCGGAACTGCGGGGTTTTGGGAGACGGGGAGCAAACGGGCTTCGGTGCTGCGTGGGCTCAGGGACAGGGTCAGGGCAACGTGAAGGGAGACAAAGACTCAAGGAAAGAGAAAAAGGCAGAATTGGCGAAGACTCATACACTGAATTCCAGATCTCTGAAAACCTGGTGAACAAGAAGCCTTGTTTAGCTCAAAATTATTAATCCATGTAATTATGCAAAGCAGTAGGGCAGTTCCTTGCTCTGTCTTTAATTAAGACAGCTTCCAAATCACAGCTTATGAACTCCATGCAAAGCAAATGCCTACCTCCATAGATACACAGCTGCTGCTGCAGCCTCCATGGGGCCGCCCTATCCATCCTCGGCGCGGAGCCAGGCTGCACCCAACCGCCCCGGGTGAGGATCGAGCCTGGTATTTTGGTATTTCCAAGAGGAACGAATGCACCACCTCCCCCAGCTTCAGCTCTGACTAATAATCTGTTTGTGATGCTCATCTGCGCATCAGCTGAGATGGACCACGCTGCAGAATTGCCTCATTTTCTCCACCTGCTGCAGCGGGAGTCTGGGGATGAGCTCAGAGGGAGAGGTGTGCCAGTGAGAGGACATAAATCCTGCACGCCTTGTGGCAGGGCTCCCTACAGCATGCTAAGCTCTGCCTGGGGCTGCCCAGGCTGCACGCTAAAGCACGTCTTCTTGCACCCATGGATGGTTTCCCCAGGGGAACGTGTTTCAGCATCCCAGCAGTGGAGTACAACCAAGCGTGTGGTTTGGCCAGTGCCTGCGGGCTCTGCTGACCTTCCCTGAAACACAGCAGGGAGGACGGGGTTGGGGCTCCGATAGCACAAGGGTGTATTTGAAGGTCGGCTGGTCCCTCAGAGCAACTACGAGGTGCTCAGCCACGCTGAATCCCCGCAGAAGGAGACAGTGCACGTCTGCACCCGACGTCAGTGGGATTTCTTTAGCAGAACAGATGCACCTGGTGGTGGATGGGAGATTGGCAGAGCGGCTCACAAAGAGAGATTTTATGCTTTAGAGGAATGTGCCCATGGCAGATTTTTTTTTTTTTTTTTTTGTCTGGAAGAGCTTTAAAGCTGTGTAAAGTTCTTCACTAGGACTGAACAAAGCTATGCAGCTCTAGAGACTGCAGCTATTCAGGATGTTACAGACAGTAAAGACTTTGCATCAGCATCTGCAGCTGCAGTGTGATGGAAAAGACTGCAATAAGCAGCGATTAACATTTCTGAAAGCACAGTTGTGTCCTCAGCACCGCAGTCGGTGAATGCCCACCGCTCCATAGGCACAGCAGCGCTCGAATGACCACCCTGGGCTGAGGAGCACCTCCTCCTGTGAGCATCCCTATGGCCCGAGGGACGGGGAGGTGAAACGAAGCACATGTCAGCCTCCTGCAGTGAATGAACCTGGATGTTAAGGGGGGCTGATGACTCCTGCAGGGCAATCAATCACATCATGTGTTGCTTAATTGTAATTTAATCACCTCTACTTAATCACCTAACAGGAAGAAAAGAATCACCACGCCTGTAACTTGGGACAACATACCTGCTTTGTGAAATGCTATGAAGCGCTCTCCTAGCCAGCTCCTGCTTTTTCAGGGAGTTGCTGCTTGCAGAGCCACCCCTGAGATGGCTTTTAGAAATCCCAGCCTGATGTTTCCAGCCTGTGGCAGAGGGAGGCCGGAGCAAGCCCGGGTGCTGGGGAGAGGGCTGCAGCCAGCGCACCCCATGTGCAGGGCGGACAAGGCAGCAGGGGGAGCTCCCATATTGCTCCTCCGGACCAAGACGTGTGTACAGAGGCTTGCAGAGATGCTGGATCGCTCTGAGACGGGGCTAGGGAGCAGCGTGATAGGCACACACCAGTTTTGGCCTCAAATGCTGTCATCAGAGGGAAGACTTTGTTCAGCGCCAGTTTCCAACACTTGAGTGCACTGGAATGGATCTGCTGTGATGGAGCAGAGGCAGCAGCTAGTCCTGGAGATCTGAAATTCTATGCTGACCTCTTCTGAAAGCGTGGGCAAACTGCTGGACTTCCTTTCTCCATGGGGATGGTCAGTCCTTCAGGGTGGGATCCAGAAGGTGCAGTGGGGATGCAAAGCCTTGCAGCAACCTGCAGCCCCTGCCATGCAACGCAAAGCAGCCCCTTGCATTAATTTGATCTCTTCTGCCCAGAGAGAGGGTGTTGGGGGGTTGTTCTGCTCTTGCAGGGGTTGTTGGCCGTACAGATGTAGGGTCTCTCAGCCACAGGCCGTGGTGTTACCACTGAGTGTGAGATAAGCCGAGCCTGCAGGCTCTAACCTTGCTGTTTGAGCATATCCTGACTCCAACTACCGAGCCAGAGCAAGGTTTTGCATCCCCGGCCTGCTGGGCTGCAGATGGACAAGTGGTATTCACACCCTGAACGCCCAGAAAAGCAGCCTCCTTCTTTCATGTGAGACCCCTCTCCGGGGAAATGCACATGCCGCCAGGAAGACAGCAAAGATGGGATTGGTAAAACAATCTTCTTATCATCTTTGCAGCTTAAATCGCTGTCTGGTTTGCCCAGGATAATGAATTTGTGAGCCTCTCTCTGCCCGAGTAGATGCTTTCAAAGCATTACCAGCAGAATTGCCATCTGCTACCGCCAGCCAGACATGAGCCTCCAAGAAACAGCATTTGCTCGCTGAAGACAGGCACGGTGTCCCAGGACAGCCCTGGACAGGCGGCTGGCTCCCCTGGCACCCGCTTGGCCAAGAGATGGGGTTACCGGTGAGGCAAGGGGACCTGCCCCCACTACTCCGGTGTCAGCGTGAGACCTGCAGGGCTTCTTGGCATTGTCTGGGAGGAGGGAGCTGGGGCACGGAGATGTCAGCCCCGGCTTTGCCCCTCTACCCTGCCCGCTCCCCGGCAGCAGGGTGAGGTGAGGCCAGCGCCAGGCAGCTCCAGGCTGAGTAACTACCGAGCTTCCTCGCAGATTATCCTGCTAATAAAGGTCTGGTCTGGAGTGGAAGTGCTTCCTGCAGGCTGCCATTGAGGCTACGTAAATCTTTATGCAAGTGGGTGCAAACTGAGATACAAAAAATTGCATTTAAACATAAGTAAAAGCTTTTTTTTCCCATAAAGGTAGTCAGAGACCAGAACAGAGGCTGTGGAGTCTCCAGCCTTGGAGACATTCAAACCCTGACTGGAAGCAGCCTGCTCTAGGTGCTCAGAAACTGCGCCCAAAGCAGCGGCTGTGGCTCTGTCCCAGCCCACATCTTTAGCCCCAGCAATCCTGCCCTTTTGTAACTCTGTGATCCCCTTTGGGGCTCAAACACCTATTCGTCTGGAGAACTAAAGCATGAAACAGCAGTTTAATTGCTGCATCTACACAGCAGGCAAGCCGACAGCAGAAATCCACACTTCCCTTCACCACCAACAAACTGTTTTGAAGGCAAGATGAGGGATCTTTGGTTGGGACCTAGTGGGGCTTCGTGGCTTTACAGCTTCTGCGTTCCACAAGAGAAATGGGACGTAGACAGGAACACTGAGACTCCATGTGTCGCTTTGATTGGGGAAATGAAAGGTTTTAAAAATAAGACATAAACATCTCCCATACCTTTGAAGGCACAGTCTAAACCCAGTGAGGCCAGTGAAGCCCGCAAGTTTTCCGTATGTCCTTAAGCATCCTGTGGTTCTCCTCATGCATCAGGGATTTCCACTCCCTGGGGTACCTCAGCTCCCTGTTACCCCAGTAATGAAGAGTATTTCGATGAAGAGAGCTGAAAGCAGAATTTGGAAGCCTTTGACTCATGCAAGCAAATGAGGCTGGGCTGGGCTGAGGGGCAGCCTCAGGAGGCCTCAAAAGGCTTGCAGTATTCACCAGGTCGCCATGAAAACCAGGCTGCCATGAATTCTGCAAGGAGGTAGACAGTTTACAAACCTCTCCTGAAACTATGTGGGTAACACACCTCACTGAATGGTGGTATCTTCTGGGAAAAGGCTAACGGCTCAGCTGGTGAGAGGATTTGGGCAGCTCCATACATTTTGTTTGTCATCGTTTTTATCAAACGCCTTTTTTTCCCTTTAGATGCCGAAGGAGGCAACAGCCACAACCTGGCTGCTAATTACAGCCTATAAAAAGGACTTCTGCTGTGCACTCACAGCAGTTCACTACTACCTTAAAATAGGAAATTTATTTCAAGAGCTTTTCTTCCCTGTAAGATGACATTAACTATAATTTACATTTTAATACAGCTCCTAGAAGGCAATAACATCTGCACTCATCTCTACTTAAATGTCTTCCTCACCTTCCTCCTCTTTTTAGTACTTGGCTAGATAACCCGTTTTCAAGGCACTCAACCTCATTTGAACCTTGGCTCCTCAGCAACCGGGACGAGTCCTGCTGGGGACGTCACATGGAGGACACGGAGCCTCCTCACCCTGGGCACACCGTGGCTGGGTTACGGTCACCTGCCCGGCTGTGGGGATGGAGGGTGATGTTATGGGGAGCAGCGCTGCTGTGCTTCGTCACAGCGCTGCAAACCCAGACGGAAAAATCCCAGATGGAAAAATCCCCGGGACAGATCCTGATGGTCTGATTGTGCTGAATCCCATAGCCACGCATCCTCTGAGCAGAGCATTTTCAGGTGGATGTTTCCATGGTGACTTGCCTCTTGCTACTGGGAGAGGAGGCTCAGGACAGAGCTGGGAAAAGCAAAGCTGCTGCGTTAACAACCCCGTGCGATGCTGGCGGTGGCACGTCCTGGAGGCTTGCACAAGCCCGTTTTGATCAAAGGTCCCAGCAAGCATGGGAAGGTGCAATATGGAGACCTGGTCTCCAGTGCAGAGCCACTGGAGAACATGGCACATGGACAGACGCTACAGAGGACAGACTTGATCCAGCTCTTCAACAAAACAAGTGGAAAGCTTGAGGCACATCAGAAAACCAGAGGCATCCACGGCAACGTGATCACAGCTCTGCAGAGCTTCTCAGTGCCCAGCTCTTGGTGCCAATGACTTTCCCAAGGTGCTCAGACACCATGGCAGGGGGAAAATAGCGCAGAGTATGGAAGGATTTGTAAGGGAAAGCAGCGGTATCTGCATCTTCGGGAAATAACGCATCTCGTGATGAGCTTATCTGACCTGTGTGTCCTGTCTGGTGTTTCCGTACAGAAATGGTACAGTACAGGAAACCAAACCTGTGCTTCTGTCCTGTTTCTCATCCTTTCACACCAGTCCTGATCACCAGTGACCTAATCCAATGGGGGACACCAAGTTCCCTTGGGCTTCCTGGAAAATCCTGACTGTAACCCCTGAAGAAGGATCATGGACCAGCAATTCATTTCTGGAGATCTAGCGCTACGGACAGGAGCCCTTGGTGAGCATTTCCTATATAATCAGCTCCTCTGGGGAACGTGACAACCGCTGTTTGCCTGCAAGGGCTCTGCAGCCAAAGCACCATGGCGAAATCACAGAGCAAAGGCACCCCATGACCTGAAGGCCAGAAGAAGGTCAGAACTGTCCACCACACTGCCGAGAGCTTAAAGGAGGTGCACACAGAGCTCAGTCCATGTGTACTGTGGACTAAGGAGAGATTTCCTCCTGGGACAACACTGTAGGGAAGCCTCTACATCCCCTGCTCAAACTGGCCCATGCTGTGGGCCATCTTCCCTTGGGGAAGATCATACTGGTCCTTTGAAAACCAGGCAAGCAATGAGGAGTAGGACAGACAAGGAGGTCTGTCCTGGAGGTGGAGTGGGCACGTGGCCCCACTGCTCCTCCAGATGTTATTTTTTAAAGCCCGGGTTCTTAACCTGAATCCAAGTGTAGGGGGAGGTTGGGGAAAGGCAGGGAAACATCCCTTCCAAGTTCATTTCCTCCCAAACCTCTCCCCCTCTGGAGCAATTAGTGTTGGCCCACAGGCAAACCTGGATTTGTGCTGCCTCCACGAAATATGTGTCAAGCTGAAGTAGGTCAGTCCTGAAGCCAAGCCAAGCCCAACTCCGGGCACCGCATGGGAATGGGAACTTGGGCTCTCCGGTGAAAGGCACCTGTGGCACCGTGCCAGCCGGCAGGCTCTGTCCCTCCGTGCCTCTCCTCCTTGCTCACACGCTGCCATACCGTGCCGTGATGGCCAACCTCCCAGCAGGCAGGAGGGGCAGCCCATGGAGAGATCGGCTGCAGCCCAGGCGCCGCAGCTCCATGCTGGCTGCCGGAGCAACTAGTTTGGAACTGAAAGGGCTCCTGGGTGGCACAGCTAAGTCTCACTGGTCAATCTACCTGTTCATCTCCTCCTCAGCTGACTTGCTCTGGGGACATGGCAGTGGCAAGTGGACATGCAGACCAGGCTAGAATGCTCTGGACTGGTCTCCTATGGGAAGGGGTGAAGCTATCACTGCAAGCCAGCAGCTAATGTTGTCCTGCCCTAATAGGAACATTAACCAGGACAAGCCCCTGCAGCTGGACCCACCATGGGTCCAAATTCAGTGCAAAGTGCGTGCCAGGGCACCTGTAGGAAGAGATGGTGCCGAGCATGCAGCGTGCTGCTGCGGACGGGGCAGGCGGAGGTGGGGAGGTGGCCCCTCTGCTGCACAGTCTCACACCCTGCACACCATCCTTCCTGACACCCTGGAAGGATTCCTGCTCCATCTGCAACGCCTCCAGCGCTCCAGAGCGTCGGGGAGAAAGCTGGGGGCTTTGTTATCCCCCCTAGCCAGCCCCAGCCTCAGGACGTCCCGTTGGGACGCAGCTGCTCCAGGCACAATGCTGCTCCCCTTTCATGTCTCGTCGCATTCCCCTGACCCTTTGAGCGAGGCCAGCACAGCCCGTGCCCAGCTGGAGCTGCAGGTGCTGCCTTTCATAGAATCTTAGAATCATTTAAGTTGGAAAAGACCTTTAAGATCATCAAGTCCAATCGTTAACCTAGCACCACTAAACCATGTCCCTAAGCACAACATCCACACGTCTTTTAAATACCTCCAGGGATGGTGACTCAAGGGGATGTCCCCTTCCCTGGACAGCCTGTTCCAAGGCTTGACAACCCTTTCGGTGAAGAAATTTTTCCCAATATCCAATCTAAACCTCTCCTGGTGCAACTGGAGGTCGTTTCTTCTTGTCCTAAAGGCTGTTTCCTTTGTTTGGGTTCCTTGGAGGGGGCAAAGGGGAAACTGCCCCACGCGGTGATGACCTGGGCAGCCCCTTCCCTGGGGTGACAGAGCACATGGGGACAACAGCAGTGCCAGGGGGGTAGGGGTGCAGGAGACCAGGCTGCAGGGTTGGTGGTGAACGCTCGCCTTGGTGGCCTGGTGTGGCTTGGGGACCCTGTGCGTGCACAAGGAGGACAGCAGGGAGGTACCTAAAGACACTCTCCTAAACCCCCTGTCCTGTCTGCAGATTGTGAAAGCAGGCAAGACCCTCTCTGTCCCTGTCCCCAAGCCAGAGGGGAAGGATGTGCGTTCACCCGGGCTGTGTGCCAAGGCTGTGTGTCCCAGCCTGACCATGCTGAAACCCTGGGAGGCAAATCTCAGAGTGCAAGACCCCAACTGGCACTCGGGTGGGTCAGTGTTGCATGCATGACTCTCCCTATACAAGGTTAAGGCCAAGGCAGCACAGCTGCATTTATTACCTACTTCCCCGCCATCCCCCCCAAGAATTGAAAGGGAAAATCAAATAATTTCAGGCTAAAAATCTGACCGACACTCCACGGGCTGCAGAGTAGGGGGGAGCAGCTTCTGGATTTTAAACACCAGCTGCTGTGATGCTACTGATAACGGGATGCAGGCTCGTGTGCCACATCTGCTGGAGCACGCAGCGCCACGGAGCCCTTCCTGCCCGTGCAGCTCCCTTCCCACAGTGCGTGTGGAGCTGCGAGAGCTTGGTCCTTCAGGAGGTCCTTCAGAGAGGCTCGAAGGCTGATTTTAACAGAGTCCAGACTGAAACCCAGGGGCTCTTTCTTCTTTTAAGGGCTAGGCCCACCTAATGACAAAGCCAGGCTGGTAACGAGGGTGGATGGGGGTGGGATGTATGTGTGCAGATGCTGGGGGGACAGGCAATACAGTAAGAGCAAGTAGTGGGATGCAGTTCCCCTCCTCCGGCCAAAAAGTGAAAGGCCTCCGTGCGTTGTGCTGAGCAGGGAAATTGCTTTATGTTGCCCGGTTTTATGAGAATTTAATTAACCATGCTCTGAAAGGGAAGAGAAAAAAAAGCGGGGGTCCTCTCTGCGACTAGAAGACAGGCTGGTGACGTGGCATGCCTGTTTGGAGTTGCGCTTTATTGTCAGACACCGAGCACTGATGCTGGGCTTGGTCCCACAAAGCTGCTATTGTCCATCTCCCGATGGAAACGCTCACAAGCCTTGTGTTGCGGTACCCATCGTCTGCAGGCAGACCGGAGACTGATGGCATCCTCCCTCATTTTAGGCAGGTGCAGGAATCCCTTTGGGAACCTCCTGGATGGCCCAAAGCAAGACCAGGGGGGATGCAAGTGGAGCCAGATGTTTCTAGCCCAAGCACTGAAATGCCCTTGGAAGAGTGACCCTGGAAGCACGAAGTGATGTCAAATGCCTCAGCTGGCCCGTATCGGTGATGGCCAGGGTGCAACTACCTTGTCCAACTGATACTGGGCACTGTTACACCCGCTCCACCGGTCCCCGGTGAGATTTGGCCCTTTGCTTCCCTCCTCAGCCCCAAACCAGCTGAAAAGACACGGTGTAGTGACTGCAGGAACGACACAAGCCAGGAGCCCGTTCTCACAGCTGACCTCAACGTTCACGTCTAGAGCTGCATCTCAACTCCCCCAGTGCCAACAGTTCACCTCTCGGTGCAGCCATCACCCTGAGGCCATGAGGTGCTCACCAAGCACAGAAAATAGAGCAATTCCTGCTCCTGCCTGATGACAAAATTGGCGTCTCATGATACCAAGTGCTCCAGGACTTCAGCTGAAGCCAGCAGAAGTTACAGGCACTCAGCATCCTGCAGGATCACGCTAGTAGCTTGGAAGCAACATGGGGCACGAACAAGGTCCTTTTCCAGCCTGTGGATGCTGCAAACATGGCTCTGCTGACCTAACGACTACTATTTGGCCCAGTAAGGGGTAATTCAGTGGGAAATCACCACCTGGATGAAGCAGCACTTTGCTCAGGGCCCATGACGCTGGGAGCGGGCTGGGCATCTGCAGCGAAATGGAATTCAGCTAACGTGAAAAGCAAGAAGAGTGGCTTTCCAGTGACCTCCCCACTCCTCCTGCAGTGCTTCACCCCAACAAACAGCATCACGGTCCTCGTCCCCATTTGGTGCCAACCCTGCAGAAAGCTCTCTGACCAGCTCAGCCGGCGGATAGGGGCTCACCTTCAGCTTGTGCTCGTGCTCCTTGTTGACTCGGGACAGCAGCTGGGCTTTCCTTCTGTTGAGGGCGTCGATGAGGGCGTCACACTGGGCCACCAGGCAGGCCTCGAACTCCACGCTGTTCTCCTGTGGGTCAGAGCAGTGCATCACAGCCCAGGGCACATCTCCACTGCAACTGGGAAACCTGATTTTTTTTATGATACCATATGGGCCATTTTTATATGTGCAGCTGCACCACTGCAAAACACAAATCCATACCATTAGCCCATGGGGTGCTTACGCCTTTGGCTCAAGGCAAATGGGGTGGTGGCAGGTGAGGAACAGGTTTGGTCCATGCTGCCACATCCTTGCATCTGCCTATGGCAGAAATGGGAAGGGCTGGGGTCTTGCTGCTCACTCCATGACACAGGCAGCTTTGGGAGCAGCAGTTTTTGGGAGGGCTGTAGGGGGTAATATGGAAAGGCAGGTGCTGATTGTGGGCCCCTTTGGGATAGCACCCACCAAATCAAGCCAGGGAGATGGGGCAGAGGATTGCTGAGAGCAGCTCATCCCCGTGGGAAGGGGCTGTTCCTCGGCCAGGAGACACAGTACCTGGATTTGCTGCACCATGTTGCGGAGTTGGACCAGGAACTCTTTTGCTTCCTTGGCTCTGTCTGACAACCCGTTCAGGGCCTGGGAAAGCTGGCTCTGCAGGGGGAAGAAAGAGCAGGGTCATTTCCATGTCCTGGATTCATCCTTGTGCTGGAGGAGCTGATTCGTGTGTGATTTAGGCTGGGGACGGATTGCAGCCCAGCACTGCCTTCCTGGGGTGCGCAGCCTTCAGCAACCCACCGAGGTGTCCTGCCCCTGCTGCCCTGAGTGTAAGGAGAGGAAAAGGAGGGTTGGCCATCATCACGGATGTCCTGGGTTTGGGAAGCAGATGTTCAGTGTCCACCTCCTCCACAAGCTTCCCTGGGTGCTCAGAGACAAGCCACATCCATCCTGCGTCTCCAAGTGAGCCAGTCAATACCTCCCCTGGATCTGTGCCTCTCCAGGGAGCCAGACACCAAAAATCCTGTAGGATCTGACCCACGCCTGCTGAGGATGATCAGCAAAAGGGCACAGATCAGGACATCCGAATCAGACTGAAAATCTCCCAATCCCTCCTGAAAGCTAAGGCAAAGCAGGGTCCTCCACCACCATGCAAAATACCGACTGCCCCTTCCTCCGCCAGTGCTAGGGGTAGGAGCGCACACCCACAGCCTGCTCCGGCCTGCGCTGAGCTGAGCTGCATAACACAGTAATAATAATGATCATGTCTTGTGCTTTTTCATTTTCCTGGCACTTTCCAAACATTAACTCCAGAATCGTCCCCTTTTGCCATGATTTCAGTAAGAGTTATTATCTCAAGAGCCGGGCAAATCACCCGTGACAATTTACCTCTGGGAGAGATTTTGCCTCTTTCGTGGGCTGCAAAATGCCTGCAAACACCACGCAGGTTTTGAGGTGTGACCTTTCTTTGTGGCAGGCACAGAAGGGGGCCCAGAAGACGGCTGATGTCCCCAAATCTCCAAAAACCTAATGTGACCATCCCTCCTGTGGTCAGGACGCTGGCACCGGGCTGGCACCTGGCCCATTGTGCCGTGCTCCCCCGGACGCCGGCGTGGGGAGATGCGGGAGGTGAGATGGAAGAGGGGAGCAGGGGGAGTGTCCGTGCAGACGGGATGCGAGGTCACTGGAGCGCAGCGCCTGCTGAGATGGCGCTGGGCTGAAATCGAGAAAAAAAGAATTGCTATCGAAGAGACGAGGTAACAAACGAATGGCAACCATTTAATGGCCCAGAAAATGACCTTACTGCTGCTTCCCCAGGAGGTGTTAATATAACCCTAGTGATTTCTGCATTTCCTTTGTAATTTATCGTGCCCGAGTCATTAGGATGTGGAGCTAATCAGCGAATGCATCTCTAATAAAAATGGGATTGCTAAGTCAGCTCAGCAGGGCCTCCCCATCTCTCTTCCCTCCCCTCCCCGAGCAAAGGCTGGAGGAGAGCCGAGGTCGGAGCCCGAGCTGCTCCCCGCGGCGCTGGCAGCCCCACGCACCGCAGGGATGACCCAGCCCTGCCTCGTCCTCTCTGCTGTGCCTCTGCAAAAGCCTCCTTCCCCTGCCCCACGCTTGCCCTCCACAGCCCACACACGGCTCCAGCCCTCCCAGATTTAGGAAGACGTCTTAAGCCCAGCAAGGTGGTTTGCTGAGAACCGAGCGCCGCAGGGCCCTGGTCTTCGATAACGCAGGCAATTAATAGAGAAAATCAGCGGGAATTTGTTATGTTTACAAGCTCCTCATTAAAATTGCAGCATGGTGTGTTTTTTCCTTTAATAAAGTCTTTGGAAGGTTTTTTTTTCTATCAACATACATTTCAGAACGGGGATCTTTATATCAACATAACTCTTTGAGGCTTTCCTAATGTGAAAGCATTTTAAATGTGCTCTTAAAATTTAATGAGAGCTCTGCAATGCTAGCGTGCACTGTCCACGTGCAGCTCCTTCACCCGGGACACCCCCAGTCTCACAGAGCAACGGCTTCCAAGGTGCAGCCACAAAAAGTCCACAAACAGATGGTCCATCTCCTTCAGAACCTCCCTCCTCCAGGTCTGGCACTGCATCCCCCTCCTCAGCTCAGCCCTTCCCTCTGCTCGAGATGTTCTCAATGCCACCAGTGCCTGCAAGGGGCAGGTTTATGTACTAGTCAGGAAACTTTATTTTTTCCACAATGTGATGAGGTGCACAGTGGACACCCTGCCCCGTCCCTCGTCCCCGGCATGGAGGTTGGGGTGCTGACACTGGCCTGCCCAGCTCACAGTGATGTGCAGGAAGAGCTAGCATCACAAAGTTGGGGTGTTTTCAAGTTCCTATGTATGGGTGGCCACAGGCTCCTCACTGGAAAAGGGACCTCTAAGGTGTGGTTTTTCATCGGCATGAGCTTCATGCTGATCTCCAGGAAGGGTCCCCATGATGCCAAGGCTCTCCCGGAGCGGAGACACGTTCCTGGACACGTCCCCTTTGAAACAAACATCTGCCCAGCTCTCCTGCTGCATCCCTGCTGCTTACGGCAAGAGTCACCCCGCTGGGGACTCAGAGCTGCAAGCCATCACGGTTAGCACATTAAACAAGGTTAATTAATGCTATACGACAACAGAGCGCGTATGGGAATGTGCGCAGGGACTCACAGGCATGCCTGAATGTATTCATTAAGGGCAGCGCTGCAGGCGCAGTGACAACGTGATTCATAACCATATGCCACAGAAAAACAAAGTCCTTCTGGTTTCTGTTATTATGTTAATAAGTCAGAGGCTGCGGAGAGAAATTAAATGACTGATTGGGTCTGTAAATTCTACAGGTACCTTCCATGACCCTTGGAGCAAACCCAAGCTTTAATGCAGTCTGTCGCTTCGGAGGATTTAATCACTGGACACAGAAGGCAGTCACAGGTTTCCCACAAGTGTGAGATCTACGTGGAGTGAGCAGGAGATGGAGACTCAGGAGAATCCTCTGCGCAGGAGGACCTCAAGCCTTGTCTCCTGCGGGTGCTGTACCAGATCGCAGGAAACAAGATGCTGTTAATATTCCTGACACACGCTGGAGGGGTTTCCCCTCGCTGCGAAAAACTGGAACGTTGCACTTTGCATCTCCACGTGGAAACAAAATCTTTGGGGCTTCTCGGGGCCGGGAACCCCACTCTGGGGACCAATGTCCTCCCGCAGAGCAGGGGACAGTGTATGGAGACCCAGCGTCCTCCAGTGTGCAGTGGGCCAGCCAGCTCGCATGCACTAGACCAGAGCAGAGTCCCACTCCAAGCTAGCACAGGCAGGGGAATGAATGAGCACGAAATGAAGAAAAATCCCATTTAGTGGCATCTTAAAATCAAGTGATTTTGTTCTTTGCAGAAAGCTGGCCTCTTTTTCAATGCTCTTGTTGAAGGGCAGTAAGAAGAGACCTCTGTAATTCACATTAGCATTAATGGGAGCTAAGCATTTAAATCTCTATCCCCGGAGCACTTAGGAGAGAATCCATCCCCTCTTTGTGCTCGCTAATAGCTCTGTAACCCTCCTTCCCAGGCGCGGCTGACAAAGGGATTTCTGTCACTCTTTGATTCTCCCTTGTCCCAGAACACGGGTGAGCAGTTGGGTGCAGAAGGCTGGTGGCTCAGTAGGGCTGAACAGGCTCCAAGAAACAGAGAAAAACACCATTTTAAACTCAGCATCTTCTCTCAGATGGAGCTGGTCTAGTTCTCCTCCCATATAACCCAGCTGCCAGCGATGGAGCTCCTCCAGGTTTACCTTGAGGCGAGGAAGGAGCTGAGCCTGTTATTTTAGGAGGCACCGGGTCCCGCTCCGCAGTGGATGCTGGATTTGCAGAGCCGGCTCTGTGTGACAGCTCCATCTGGCACACCGGGAAAAGTCTGAAGTTAGCCAGCGTTGGCCACCAACAAGAGCGAGGAACAGTTGCTCTTGTTTCAAACCCCAACTCGCTTGCAGGCTCTGATGCTAGAGAAAGTACCTGGAGTACTCAGGAGAGATGCCAGTCTCCTTCTCTGCTCAGTGGAGAGGAGGGCAAGCCAAAACCCAGTTGCTAGCCCAGGTCCCCTGGCCAGCTGGAAGCCCCATGACCCTGCCCACCCAGGACCTGTGCAGCTCTGCGCTGCCTGCCCCCAGCCCATAAGGGCTGCACCCGCATGCAGGAAAGCAAACTTGTGTGTGATGGTGAAAGGTCACAAATTCAAACGAGATCAAGAAAGGACATTTCTGTTCAAGGTCAGGCCAAATGTACACCCCAGTGCAGCATCTTCTGTACAACGGTGCTCTTCCAGCCTCCAACAGTTCACAGCTCAGGAACCTCATGAGGTTGGCATGGCTTTCGTGTAGCCTGTGTAACCCCCCTTGGATTTCTCTTCCACAGAACTGTCCTGTCTCCTTATGTTGGAGCTTTTATCACCCACAAGGTCCCGTAGCAAGGAGTTCACAGCTTAAGTGCGTGCCCTTTGAAAGCCACCTCCTCTGGGCTGCTGCAGACCATACCTGCTTCAAAGGCCATTTGCGCCTAAGATTTCAGATGACTGCACCTCCTTACCAGCCACAGATGGGTTAGGTGCTCCCTGTCACCCCAGGACAGAAAACTCACCCCAAAAGAGCTCTCGGCATTACACTGAGAGCCCCATACCTGCACTGACACCCCAAGTGTTGCAAGCAGTCCCTGTTTCTTCTCTCCTTCCAACCAAGTCATCTTCCAGCCAGTTCCTCTGCTGGAGCATCCATACAGAGGTAAAAGAGAAGAGGAATAAGCCATGGCAAGAAAAGATGCTGTTCCCAGCTGTTCTGCTTGTACCCTCGAAAGGATGAGGAGCTGTCACAGATGCTGGAGTTGAAGTCATATGCTTTTTTCTTTTAATTAAAGCATAGACCTACAGCCTTTGAATCGTGAGGCAAGCTTACTGTATGTGATGTCTGACTAATTAAAATGGGATGTTTAATTAAACTTGCATTCAGTCAGGAAGTTGATGAAGCTAAACTGCTGCTAATTGGCTTTTGGCTCCAGTCACGAGAGCCTGACTTTTGGATTCGACCCTGCCTAAGAAGAGTAATCAGGAGCTCTGCCTGGAGCTGCAGCCTGGGCTGAACCTACCCCTTGAGACTCGAGCCTGCACCGCAGGGC